CGAAAGTAGAATAATAATGATAATCAGAAATAATCAAACTTCTTGTAAAATCTGCTCTTTGTAGAAGTATTTTACAATGAAAAATGGAGTCTTATTCTTTCAAAAGTACGTCGAATGGATCATTAATCAGTTGGTAACTCTCATTTGAACATTAGAATGAAATGCACACAAGAATATCAATTTTCTTATTCTTTTTTCGTTTGTAGTTTATAACATTTCATTAGCACCACCGATTCAATTCAATATTTATACAATTTGGAGTATTTGAAGGTTTCGCTAATGGTGTAAAAAGAAAAGTGACGGTCCTTAAGCTATTAATGGACAACGATTGTACTATGGGAAAATTTCATAAGTAAGATATTTAGTTTTACCTATTTCAAATTTAAGAAATAAGGTTTAAAATTTAAAATTTCAGATTTCAGATTTTTTAAGGTTTAAAATTTTAAATCTTAGATTTTTTAAAAAAAATTATTTATAAATAAATAAATTAAACATATATTTTATTAATTAAATATATTAATGTCACAATTCCATATAATTTGGTCACAAATTTTATATAATTGGTTACAAATCATAAATTTTACATATCACAAATTATTTTTCAGACACAAATCAAAAATTTTATAGGTCACAATTTGTTCATCGGTCACAAAAATTGAAACGTCACAAATTATTTTACGGTCACAATTCAAAAATTTTATATGTTACAATTTATTCATCGATCAAAAATCAGAAATTTTATAAGTCACAAATTAATTTACGGTCACGAATTTGAAATTTTATAGGTCTCAATTCAGAAATTTTATAAGTCACAATTTGTTCATCGGTCACAATAAAAAATTGAAACGTCACAACTATTTCATCGGTCACAAATCATAAATTTTAAAAGTTTCAAATTATTTTACGGTCATAAATCATAAATTTTATAGGTCACAATTTAATTCGTTGGTCACAGATCAAAAATCATAGATCACAGTTTATAGATATGTCACATATTTCCAAATTTCTTG